AATAGCTGACATACTTCAAATTTTAAAATAAGAATGTAAAAAAATTGTAAGGATCTGAATTATTTTTTAAAAATTCTCTCCAAGAATAGATAATCACTCTAAAGTCCAGTATTTCAAATATGATTACGGAACTATCCTATTAGCCAGCACAGACCTAATTTGCCTCATTGTTACAGCAAAATTAATATAGAAAAAAGAGCTTCTACTCTGAAAATAAAACAGTTTCTGTTACATAGGAGTTGCATCTGCCTTTGTAAACATGATCTTACTACAAATATTTTATTTTTTTGCAAAACATACTATATAAACATAAACCTTAGCACAATGAAGTTTTATTAAGGATTTTCTGACTTTCAGTAGAACAATATACAAGCAATAGATTTTGTACATCAGTTCTGCTCTATATTATTATAAAAATATCTCTATTGATAAGTATTTGTTGGGAGGAAAGTATTGTAGTAATGGAAAGAAAGCACTACCTTATGTACTAACCAGGTATCTGGTCATATGTTATAAATGCTTACATGTGCATAGATCATAGCATAGAGAGTATGGTAAAGACTGAGTGAGATACTGCCAGTATGCTATATGATGACTCTTTTAAAAAAGAAAAGCAAGTCTCCAATTATTTTTTCCAGCCTATGTGGAATGGAATCTTTGCATATAGGCAAGTGTACAAAGCCAGAAGACTTGTTTTCAGGTATTTCAAATATTAATAAGTATGAACAGAAGGTCAAATAAGAGAGAAGAGTAAAAAAGTTTAAATTTCAGGCCTAACACTTCATTAAAGCATTCACTACTCATGTCTGTGGAAGTCTATAACTGTCCAAGTCTTGTAAATCAAGATCCACAGTAAATTTAATCTGTATTCTTAAAGAAAAGTCTGGCCAAGTGCTGTCTATGAAAGAACATATAATTTCAGAACTACTGTGGATAACAATGTTAAAATTAAAGATGTAAATTCTGCACCGATATGCACTATGTGCAACTCCAATGAAGATAAAAGGATTGTGTGGTTTAGGTACCAGAACTACTTTGATTTACTCAGATGTCACTGAAACCCTACCTATAAAAAAAGGATTTCTAGCATCAGATTTTACAACATCTGCAGCCTTCCTGGCATTGCCAAAGTCAGGAAATTAAGACAATATGAGAATATTGTTCTAACTCCAACACTGAAGGAAGTAACAATTTTGACAGAGGAGCCAGATTTTGGTTGGCTTTCACCATGTGGACAGGCAAGGGGAGGTAGTATTTTTGCCAATGAATTATTTGCTTTCCTTCTAAGACTGGAAACCCAGGGGCAAGCCTGGCTTTGTGATAGAAATAGGTGGCCCACAGAATGGAGATGTGGCTACCAATGAATTTCACGTTATCTACTAAATCGGCAGATGAAGTAGCATTGGGTCACCCTCAGTCCCCTATCAGGCACTCTAAACTTGAAATTTTGGACAAGCCTCCCATTTTCATTACTGACCTATCCAGTTTCCAGCTGCTCCTTGACAGTTAAAGAGGCTCATCATAGAAATTAATTCCCAAGGTACATTGACATCAAACAGCACATTTATGTCACTTCAGAAAGGAATTTCTCACTAACCATGGCAAACTCTTCTGGTCAATTGCTCTTGAAGCACAGCAGTTGCTCTTTAAGGACTTTCTGGATGAGGTGCTTCTATCCCAGCAAAATTTCCCATGTTGACTCTCAGCCTCAATGAGTTTTGGGCTGAGTGATCAGGGATTCTTTTCTTGGACCTAGGGAAGTTGAAGTGAACTTACCCACCTTGATGATACATGGTGGTGGGTAACTTTTATGTTATTTGGAGAAATTTTCATGGATTTTTATGTTAAAGAAAAATCTTACTGCTTACAGCTGTGCCCTCAAGACACACTCACAAAGGATGCAGGGTGCAGCAATGCAGGATGCCTTAAGTGAGTGGCTTCAATTAGCATACAGTGCCAAAGTCGCAGATTTTAGCTAAAGGCACACAAAACTTTTGTATCAAGGGCCACTCTACACTGATATTTGAAAAAATATTGTCTACAGAGCTAGAATTTCCTAAGTACATGGAAATATGTATTCTGCAAGAAGTTTTGACTCTAGCACTCATGTCATAATACAGTATTTTCATGGTAGGTGAGCAATAAGTGCGTTGAATTATCCCTTTAATCCTTTCTAACACTTCAATATAGAGAAAACTTTAACCCTCAAAATTCATTTAGTAAGTTCAGTTATTTTCCTGGCAAGTAATTAGACAAATGTATCCAGATCATCAGCACACCAGGTCTTCAATTCATTCTACCTACTTAACTTCAGTCTTAACTTTGTTCTCAGAAAAAAATAAACAAAATGAGATCATGGGGGCTTGTGCTAAATATGATGAGAATGCTTAATGCATAATTTAGGTCCTAGATTTTCCAGCCCTAACCCCTAGAAGCCTCAGGGAGTACCTAATTTTAAACAGCAGAAGTATTCCTACTCCCAGAACTTCATAGGTGAGATATTCAGTAATTCTGTTGTTTTTTCTAAAGTGGTCAACCTCAAAATACGTAAACCTGAAGATATGATCCATGGAATAGGAGTCTCACATCCTAAATAAGCAAGTGAGTACTTGCTATAAAGTTTAGACAGATCCAAAATAAATACACCAGACTTACTATACTCAGCTGCCTTGTGTTAATTACTCCTATCAAGTCTCAAGACTTCAGTGAGGCAGAGGAGGAACAGACCTTAAAACTGGCATTCTTCTTGGAACACTAGTTAATTTTTAACTAGTGAAAAATAAGACTGTTTCTACAGTAAGAGTGCATTAGATCCTGCCTTTCAGTGTGGCCAAACAAAGCTTCCAAGCCCTCAGGCACATTATTCTCTTTCAATTGTTCATGTTGTCGCTACTGTTCTGTGTACAAGAAGTAAACAGATTATTATCACTTTAAATAAAATAGTATAGTTTGCTTTCTAAAGGAGTTCCTCAAGTATTTGTGTGGCAGAGATGCAATTGCCCGTAACAGACATAAAAATATCTAGTCAACAAGCCATGTGAATAACAAAGCAAATAATTGTGGAGAGTCCCATGACATCACTTTAACTTTTATAGTAACTTGAAATTTTCAAATCATTATTATAAGTTGCATTTTTATTCCTTGACTACTCTGTAAAGATGATGCTCCTACAGCAGCTGCTGTGGTCCTGTCAACACTCATCCTCATCCTTCACCTGCCTTTCTATCATCTCAACATGTCAAAAAAACCTCCTGTTGTAGATTGCCAAAACGACACCCCTTTCCATGCTTACTTCTTACATAGCTTCCTGACAAATGAGCGAACACTTGATTCTTAGTGCAAGAGCTGAGATTAGTTTTCCACTTCTTAAGAGGCCCCTTTACAGTTTACAGTTTCAGGTGGGCATCAGTGCCCTGGAGAGATTTTCCAAGACGTTAGGCAGATCCAGCCTTTTCCAGGTTGTGAAGGACATGACCCACGGACTGAAGCCTTCCTTCAGCTAAGCTGGCTGTGTAACAACACAGGCTTTACAACTTGCAAGAAATTTTATAACACAGCATGAAGTCTTATTGCAAAAAGAGTTATGTTGTGATTCACTGACCAATATAAATACCATGTGACTGGAATGAGACATGTGGTGGTTTAATAAAAACGCTCAATATTTCTTGAAAACACAACACATGGTAACTGCTGATTAGACACTGCAGTAGTTCTGCTCACATTTTGATTCCTTCAGAGCTTACATACATACAGATCTAACAGTCCAGCTAAAAGGACAACCCAGTGCTCTAAGGAGTAATGGATTGAAAGTGATACAAGTAGGAGACAATAATTTTCTCACTCTACAAGAATATATTAAATACCTTGTGGAAAATAGCTCTTTCTCATCCAGTTTCTATAAGTGTGACCCTGGGTCCCATTCTTGCATACATTTTATTTTACTGTCCAGCTCTATGGTATCACCACAAAGCTTAAACTCCCTACCGGATATAACAGAGCTAGCGCTGGTAAAAGCCCTAAAGTCCTACTCTTCCTTCTCTTTCTTATGTATTGCCAAGTCTGAAGTGACAGTATCTGTTTTGAATGACATATGAAGTAGATGATGAGTGGCATCCTTGTGTGCTTTGATAAAAGTAACTGAAGTGCTCTGCCTAAATTCATTTGGATAATTATATGGCTCTAGTTTGAAATTAGCCTGTTAGCATTTGCTAGAAGAGTTCGTGTTCTCTTCATAATGCCAGCCTCTTCACTTTTTTTCTCCCTTCAGCTGTTACTGAATTTTAATGATAGCTGAAATACATACTTCACTTTGGGGAATCCAATATGAAAAGAATTGCAACAAGGCAATCTCTTATTTTAAAGTTATGGTTTTTTAACATATATGCATATGCATTAAAAAAAAAAAAAGTTAATCTCAGGAGTGTGTGCACTTTATATCCTTACAATTTACAATACAGCTTTACCAGGGTAACTGCTTTCTAGATATTCCATGAGTTCAACATGAATCAAGTATTTATTCCCTTCCCCTCCAAAATGCTGACACAAAACCTTGCATTAGCTTGAAAATAACATGTCATTTAAAATCTTGCCGTTTTCTTCCTTTGATGTCTTTCCATGCAAGTATTTCACAGACCAGTAACGGTACCTGGTGCGAGCGCCCACCGAGCGAGGGTGCCTTGTGAGTGTGCCTTCTTTTGCAGCTGTTTTTTGATCTGACCACAAGATGGCGGTGTGACCCATTTATACTGCCCCGCGCTTCTCCCCGCCAGCCGGTACAAGGCGCCCGTGGATCCCGTTCCTTCCCTTTAAAACTCCGCTGGAGGCACTCAGACCGTAAGGACGTGCCACCAGCCGCAGGGCGCACGGACGGGCAAGGCCGCCGTAACTGACTGGCTCCCTTTCACCAAGTCTTGCAAAGAGCAGCTCGGCAGCGCTCCCCACGCCACGGAGCAGCACTGGGCAGGGCTTTCACATGCACAGCGGAACTGGGAAAGAAAACCCGAGGCACTGAGCTGGCAATTAAGGACATTGATCCGCTCCTGCCAGATCTGCTGTGAAGGTTTAAAACGGCCTCAATAATCAATAGTTATTAAAATGCATTGCTTGGCTCTTAAAGTTATTTGAAGCTGCATTAGGATCGGAAGTTCCTCAGTATTGCAGCGCCACCTCCATATTTAACTTGAAAGGCTGACAAAGTAGTCTAAAATATTCTAGTTTGCTGGGATGTTTGCATTTCAAGGGTGTTTTCTTTTTCCAGTTTACATATGCTCTGTGTTAGCAACAAAGAGGTAGGAAAGATTGTAGTAATTCCTGAGCCCATAGGTGGCAAAAAGAGAGAAAAGGGGACTGGGGCTGGGAGAGGGAGCAGGATGGAAGAGCAGGAAGAGGCTAAACAGCTTCATTACTAAAATATTTCTAACTCCTTGTCCTACACAGTAGAAAAGGATCCTTATAAACTTCTGTAGAGCTTTGCATATGACATGAATTTAAAGGGCATTCAAAGCATCTTTTGTGCTCATTAGACCAGACAGACAGTTCCAAGTATGCTTAACACAGACGTTTGAAAGACTAACACAACTGTTTCTGGAAATAGACATAGCTGTCCCACAGTGACCTGCACTGAGCTGGTGATTTCTGTTTTCATTTAAAGTGTAAGTTTAGGCAAGTTTATCTTTTTCCAGAGAAGGTGGGAATAATTAAAATAAAATTAAAAAACATAAAAGAATGTGGTATCCCTGCACAGAATGTTTATTAGTGAAGTACAAAACTGACGTAAAATAAGTCAGGCTATCATCACAGAATTCAGTAGGGACGCAATAATTTTCAGGTATCTCTAAAAGCGTAGTATCGCAACCAACCTGGCATACTGCTTCACTTCAGGGTTAAAGTTTCCTCACCAAATGAATCATTGATTAGCAAAACAGAAAACAGCTACTGAACAGATAATGGGCAATGCTCCAGGTTATTTTTAGCACTATTTTAGCAAGCCATACATTTAGAATTGCATTTTTTAATGATTTCTGGAGGACAGGAGAAGAGCCAATAGTTAAATAAAGTAGCATAGCTCTTCTTTCCCACAATATTCAATTAAATGGTTGGCCGTTAATGTAAGTCATGTTGAACCTTTGATCTACCTTTCAAAATTTCCTTACCTTGCCGTGCAGCTTTCATTAGTCTAAAATAAATTAGCAACCTTAGAACTTTAATGATAGGATTGGCTGGTAATTGTGCTCTGCTATTGACTTGATGCAGAAGTTCATTTCTCACAGCTATTGAAATTCAACTGCCTCTTCCTTTGTGAGTCCATTAGCAACCAAAGATCCCATATAAACTGATGTGCCCTTTTCATGGTAGTGGAAGATGTAAGAACAAGAGAGAGACGGAGCTCTGAACAACAATAGCCAAATAAGAAGGAATGAAAGTCTCTCATTTGATTGTTTCTAGCATTACTGCAACTGAGGGAAATAAAGAGTTCTCACCATCAATTGCCATAATGCATTCTGCTTTACATTACCAAGTCCAGCTAGAGGGCTTTTTAGCAAACATACTAAAATATGGGAATGCTTTTGTCTTTTCGTTGCACCTTCCTCTTAGGTCTCTTTAAACTAAACTCTTAACACTTGTAGGCATTATTTCCCCTGCGCTCCCAAGCTAGCAAGAAGATTACAACAGTGAGAGCCTTTTAGGTCACCAGTCCTGCTCCCCAGACACATACAGTAGGTAGGAACATCCATTCAAGCTGTTAAGCCTCAGAAGATGGAGGTTACTAAGGCAATGTGGTAGCAGTAAGGATTTTGAGTTGTCTTTACTATTCTGCTGGGGCAAATAGCTCTGCCCTCTCCTGGAAGCTGTGAAGCATGAGCTTTAGCTGTAGTTCCTCTGGACTCTTGATTGTGACTCTGTGTCCCGCTGGAGAAGGCTCTGCTGTGTTTTTAGGTCACTAAGATTGCAGACCCAGGCTTTCAGGCACCCCCAGATTGGGCAAGGATGGTTACAGTTCCCTCCTATTGCCAATAGTATGGTTAACCATGCTTGTATTTCACCTATGTACAACTTCTACAACAATGTCCAGTGCACTTGATAGATTTTATAGTTTGCCTAATCTGAAAGCTTCTCTGTTCCTACTGTCAAGCTAATTAAATCTCTTCCTGCAGTAACTTCCTATTTCGGTTAGAAGAAATACAGAGGTTGTATCTATTGCTATGTATCCCTTGGAAAAGTAGAATCATTATGCTTCCATTTAAATCAAAAAATCTTTCACATTATTTTTCTGTTCATTATTCTTAACAACAAACAGCATAATATTGCAATAATCGGAGGTTCATTAAAATTTTGCTTTCACTACTTATGCATGAGAGCTGTGCATGTGTTGAAGCCACTCAAGACCTCAGCACTATAAATAGTGCTCTATTGTTAGTGGATAAAAGATGAAACCAGTCTCCAGTCACTGGAGCACAGCATGCCCTATTAAATGTTAAGCTCTGCCTGTGCTAAAAGTGAAAGGCAACATGAACCTATAAACTAGTCTGCGGGTAAGGCATATGACTGGGAAGAGTTTGCTGTGACTCTACAGCTTCCCCAAAGCGACAGGATCAGCAACTTACCTTTCTGCCTCTGCGATGGCAGAAGCTGTTATAAGACACTGGGTGGAAACTCCTGTACGCTACCAAGAGCAGTTTGCTGTCCAAGAGCTGGAAGGACACAAACTGGACCACTCTTTATATGCTTTGCCAGGTCCTTCTACAGCTGCACGGAGCAACAGAAGGTGTACTGCAGAAAGTACAGCTGAGGCTGGGAAGAGTGGCCAGGAGGAGGAAAACACAGGCTTCCAGGTCTTGCTGGATGTTGTGCAGTTCCGCCCTGAAGATATCATTATTCAGACTTTTGAAGGCTGGCTCCTGATCAAGGCTCAGCATGGACCCAGGATGGATGAACATGGTTTCATATCCAGAAGCTTTACCAGACAATACAAGTTACCTGATGGAGTGGAGAACAAAGACTTGTCTGCACTATTCTGCCATGATGGCATTCTGGTTGTTGAAATGAAGAACTCTGTGGGAAAGAATTAGAACCTTGCCCGTAGTTTATTGGTGAGATAAAACCATTCATAATATAACAAAATAATATAATTCGAGCAATGCTGTAGAGTGTAGTAAGCATGTGGCTGTATTTACGTTGCAGTAAAGGAAAATCTTTGTATGTGTTTTTCAGTATGCTGAGTTCATTGTTTGATGTGAAGTGTCAGACTGCTTGCCTCCAGTAACATATGTGTTGAAAAGCCAGGCTTTTTTAACAGCAGAGAATTTAAGCTCATCACAGCAGGAGAAAAATAAATCTACTTGATAACATATTGAAAATAAAACACATTTGTGAGCTCAGTAGGAGGAGCTGTATTTCTAAGGAATAAGCATTTGTCATACATAGTCGTAATCATTAAAGAAGAAATAGACAGAGTTTGAGTCTTACGGAAATTTAATCTATGTACCAAAAAATCTCTTTTCTAATTTTTGAGATTAATTTTTTCTTCCTTAGGGACTGGAAAAGCAGGCAAAATGAAGGATACTACCAGGAAAAAACCCAACTATTTCCACAGTTCAAGCTTGTATACAAAAAACCCGTGAGAGATTACTTTTTAGAAGTGTGTTGCATGTTTGAAACTAGAAGAAAAAAAGTTAATCACTGACTATATTTGTTTGAAAACACAGCAAGTAGAAATTATACTTTCTGTCAAAGACAGATAATTTGAAACAAAACATTCAAAGACATTTAGAAAATTGGCTTTATTTAACCTACTCTGCTATCTATTAGCAACTGAGGAAAAATGCAGTGTTTACAAATACTCAAAAGGATCAAATTCTTCCTTGTGAACCCCTGGTAATAAAAAGGCATTATTCTAGCACAGATGCCTTTATTCTTTTACATTTTAAGTAGTCATCTTGTTCAGATGAATATTTTATTCTTCCTGCTGCTTGACAGTTTAGACCAAAATCCCACACTTGGTCTTCAAAAGCAAATTTTTCTGGCTATGTCTAGTCCAACTCTACCCATATGAACATGGGCTCTATACGACTCATTTTAAGTGCAGAGGTTTCTTAATACAGGCACAGGTTTAATTTCTGTCCCAGTGTCTCTCATTTCATGAGAGTGATAGATACGAAAAGAAAAAATCCATGCACTGTATCAGCATCTGGTCTTCCCACCATTTAAAAAACATAATGCTGTAAGTAAGTTTGTAAATTCTCAAACATCTGAGAAGATCTGCAGCTGCAAGTTGAGCTGCGTCCTTTTATGTGTACTGCAGATGAGTATGACTGCTGTGCTATGAATAGTAAAGGAATGTGGAATGGAAAGTGCCAAGTTAAATACAGACTCTTTATCATAGCCATCTGCTCTTTGGACAAATCAAAAACATACTCAAATGAAACTGGATCCAAATACAATTTTAAGAATATGAGAAAAATCTTACGAAGAAAACCCGGGCTCTCACTAGCTGAAGCCAGAGGGTTCCTTTGGTTTAAAATGAAAGCCCTATGCTTGTACTTCTGCACATGTCCATCCATTAGAAAGACTTATATCTCGGTTGTTTAGACATGATGATACTTGAAGCAATTGATTTCAGGAAGGTGAGTAGTCCAATCTTGCATTTGATTCGTAATTAGTTCTAAAACTCATGAGAAATTTGTACAAGTAATGCAGAATAAGGTATGGATTGTAAATTTCCATCACATGCTATTATTTTATTTTTTTAATAGAGCAGAGATCAAGAACTTAATGTTTTCTAACAAACCAAACCAAATATACAACATGTGTCCATATATTCCCACTCAACCCAAATTTTTCCCTCTACTGCCTATGTTTAAGTTGTGTATTGGTTTAAGCTAATAAATGGTCACACTTGAAAATCAGACCTAGACTTTCAACACTTTTTGGTCAAGAAGCTTTGTCAGCCAGGAATGTGACAGAAGATGTAACACGGATTAAAAAAATAAATTCTAGATGCAAGTCTGGATTTAAACTTTACACACCAACTATATAAAAGCTCACAAGTTTAGGCCCCTGGTTGCCACATCACCTTATGGCACAGCTGTTGGGACAGAGCTCAGGATCATCAGTTAGTAATCTGCTTTGGTGATTTTTGTTTATGGAGAATTTTGTAAACTTGATCACTTAAAATTATAGCTAATTATAAAAATAATTCTAGCCATGACTGCACTGATGGTATTCATAGCCTAAAGATGAAAAAGCAGTTCTAAAAAAAAAAAACAACCATAACTGATTTAATTATTTCAAATTAGATCATGATTAAGCTACTGGAAACTTGGCAAGGAATTAGGCCAGACAGCCAAAATCATATCATCTGTTCTATATATGTTAATACCATGGATACACACAACCCTGCTTATGTACACAAGTATGCCTCACAAAATAGGATTGAGAATTTGGCATTTGGCTGTTCTGTGTGGTAGGTCTCTTCACTCACTGTACTTATTCAAGTTGCCAGTCAGAAACCACTGGAACACACTGACCCAGGTGGATTTTGCCTTCTCTTTTATCCAAAGCTTTGCCAATGCCTATGTCCATGCTCCTTGGGTGAATGGGAATTTGCCCTGGCCCAGGGACCACACTGGGCTACAGACCTTCCACTGGCTTCCTGTGTTTTAACACCAAGAACAATGCAGAGGAAAATGCTTCAAGTGCTTCTCTCCTCTGTTTAGTGGCAGTTTATTGAAAAGTTATCAAAGTACTTGTCAGAGTGTTTCCAAACTGTCTGGAAAGAGCTATTTTCACATGTTGTATATGGTGTTTTCCTTTTACAATCTGATTAGAACTGAATGTGCACGTCATGGAGAAAGATGCTAATATTGCTCATGAACAACAGAATGAGAAAATTATCTAGAGCAAAGGATTTTGGAACATCTACAGCTTAAGACAGGTTTAAGTCATGTTGGTCTGGTTAAATTAAGACACTCATGTTGGCTGCCTACAAAATCCTGGCCTAGAATAAGTGATAAATGCTGATGCAAGCCTTGCAGAGCAAGTATTACAGAGCCTTCTCAGGTCCCATCAGTGAAGGATTACCATTGTGATTCATCACACTGCTCCTCAAAATGGACAAAGACGATTTCATGCATGAACCTAAGCACTGTGAAAAATGCTTTCATAGATGTCTCAATATCAGCACTAGTCTCCAAAAGCAAGGTAATGAGCATATATTTACATGTGATCCTTGTGGGCAGAAAGCCCACAAATGCCTTGGACTTACTGCCTTTTTATAGTTCCTGCTGCATCCAGGGCATTTGAGATCTCTCTAAACAATCTGATGCTTGTGGTACAGTGAGCCAAGGCTGATACCCATGAGTCCTCAGTAACCATTCAGCTTCAGCCCTAAAGAAAAGAGGAAAGGAAACCCTTGCAGTATCGTGATGGCAACACTCCATCAAAGAGGGGTAGCTCTTGTGTTCCTTACTTTATTCATAGCCAGGAATCAAAATGTACTTTTTGTCTGAGCAACATTACAAGATTTGGCTTTCAGTGGGAGTATGAATATTTCTGAAAATATTGGTTGCACCTCCTCTCATCTGAAAGAGACACTGACCTCTGTCTTTTTGACTACCAGAGACAATGGCTGGCCCTTGTCCTCCAGTGGACAGCATCTCAATGACACTATACTGTGAATACAAGGGGTAAGTCTAAGGACTTAGACCGACAGGTAACATTGGAGATACCTGAGCTGGCTCCACTCGTGCCAACTCCGGAGCCAGAAATACTGTTCCTGTGTGCCAACTCATGTCCCCAAAACCTGGACTGTCCATTGCTGTGCTCAGGCTAAAAAATCAAAAATCATCTGTTATTAAAAATACTGCTACAGACGGAGGGACAGGAGAAACAGCTCAGGACTCCCTGTCCAGCTCAGTGCTAGCATGGGGGTCTTGGGTCTCTGAACCATGGTGGGCTGTAGCCTCACCACAAATACCATCAACCTCCTTTAAAAGTAACACTCTTTAGCCTCCTTTAAAAGTAACACTGATGCCAGCATTTTCAGGGGGAAGTATGTCTAGCAGTCACTTGCACAAGTAGAACTGATGCAAGCAGAGAATCATCTACAGTTCCCCTCATGCTCCTCAATGAGTTTACTCTGCTTTGGGCCACTGTCAACCCCACCAGGTCTGACAAAGCTGTTCTGCTGACAAAGCATGCTGCTCCCGAGCCCTGCAAGTTAATACAAAAGCAGCAGCCAGCAGGTCTGTGCATGGAGAGGAGACAGAAAAACAAGAACCAAGGTGGGTCTCAGAGCATAGCCAGAGGTGTTTCAGGTGAGGATGGCGAGCAGAAAAAACACTCCAACTGGTTCAGAATATATACACATATATATACTGTTGTGATTTAGCCCCAGATAGCAACTAAGCACCACCTAGCTGCTCACCCATGCCCCCTTGGTGGGATGGGGGAGAGAATAGGATGACTAAAAGTGAGAAAATTTGTGGGTTGAGATAAAGACAGTTTAATGGTAAAGCAAAAACAGAATGTGTAACAGTTATTTGGGAAGACAGATGCTATAACTCCATATGCTCCCCTTTCCTTCTTCTGCAGAAGAGAATGACATCATATGGTGTGGGATACCCCTTGGGTCAGTGGGGGTCAGCTCTCCTGGCTGTGTCCCCTCCCAGCTCCTCATGCACCCCCAGCCTGTTTGCTGGTGCGGTGGGATGAGGCCTTGACTCTGTAAGCACTGCTCAGTAGTTAATTAAAATGTCCTTGCATTATCAACACTGCTTCCTGCACAAATCCAAACCACAGCCCCACACCAGCTACTGGGATGAAAATTAGCTCTACTCCAGCCAAAACCAGCACATGTAATGTATAAAGATTTTTAGGCATAGTATTTAAACCTCCTGCAAAAAATACTTGACTTCCTAATAAAGCAAGCATTTTTAAGGGCTGAGAAAAATGTTTCAAAATAACTTTAAGAAATCTAGGCTTTTAATAGAAAAGGACATGGGCAAAACCCTTGGTGTACTAGGATGACTGAATAAGTCACCTACAATGCCCAGCTGCATTTCTTTCAAACTGCACATCCCTTCAACTTTCCCATCCATTAATTGTACATTCGCACTGTGAAAGCAGAGGTACCATGTCAGAATCTCCAGAACTGTCACTTTCTCTAGGCAGAGCTGATGACATAGAGGTTAACATGTGAGTGCCCTATATCTGAACTAGCCACCCCAAAATTTCCACAGTCAAGTCCTCATCAACTCAAGGTGGTTCACTGATTCACCATAAACTAGTCAACATGTGCAAGAATTCCTCTTGTTTGCTCTGCATGGAGCTAGTCTGGTGCCGCAAGACTTCCTCACCCAGGAGCCGCTGTGCAGCTGACTGGCACCTCACCCTTGCCCACCACAGTACCGAGGTAGTGCAGTGCTCAGCTGGCTGCTCCTGTCACTGATTCAG